ATAGGTTTTTTTATGATGCTTGCAACACTTGTTATCTTGTTGTTCATCGTCTATATCGTACCGCACATTATAAAATGTCAAGCAGATGCACTGAGGTGGTTCTTAATGTACCATTGTAATCTTTTTAGACTGTTTCAGACAACCTCAAAAGATATCTTTCAGAGTAAATTTTTAATAATTCCTTTATATCTGCTTAAAGAATCGATGGCATAATTGGTATATATGTGTCAGATAAAGACGGGGTAATTATGGCCGGAGGTAATTTTTTTTCTTATTAATAGTGCAGCTCAAACTGAGAATATGCCCGAACAAGCACTACACACATATGTTGTTTCTTCATTCATCAGTGCCATCCAGCAATCCGTCAAAATGGGTATGGGCGAAATGAAACGTATGATTACTCGTTATCAAGATATGCAGGTTTGTCGAATTATCATGTCTGCGGCATGCTATGCATTTAATGATTGTTATATATTGATTAATAATCCTAATTTTTTTATAGATTAAAATAAAAATTTATAGTGCAAATTCTTGCCCTTTGCAATTATAGGCTCTTGAACTTATCGTAGCTAATAATTATTGCTATTACTTATTAGTGGCCATTCCATAATGATATTGCTTATACTAAAAAAATTCGCATTGTTGAATTTTGCTATATAGTACATCAATTTAGCTACTTTTATTCATATTCACTTATTAATTTTTTGTGAGTCTGACTATTTTCCTGCTACTTCATTAAGTTCATGTTACGGCTAGGTGTATTTTTTTATCAATTAATTCTGGCCTAAAAATATGATCTTTATGACATCTGTTTTTCTTAATATGTCGTATTGTTTCACGTAATTATTTTGTGATGTGTAACCATTTAGGTTACATAAATTTATTTTCCTGAAGGAAATGCAGTTTTTATTTAAGAATCTGAGGGTTTTTTACTTTTATATTTACCATATATTCAAAACAACAGCAGAGTAACATATGAATCGTTTTAAATTTCAAATCCTGATTAATTCATCTTATGTAATTCAGGATACTTATTTACTACCTTAAACGCATTTCAATCAGTTAATTTTTAAATAATTCCTTATCTGCTCTTTCCCACTCTAATCTTAAGTTGGTTGGTGTTAAGTATGATGTTACAATTCCTGTTTACTAGATTGTCCAGTTCAACTACACCGGTGACCAGAAATTCACACCCATTTATCTTACAGTCGTTGGCCAACGAGCATGTGATGTCGGTATGTTATTCCATTTTATTTAATATCTAATATACAAATAGAGTTAAATGTTACCTGTTAAAATTTCATTTTGTATGAAAATATGCGATCAAAACATTTGCTTATTAGCCTCATCAGGGGATGAAGCAAGATTGTACCTGGCTTGCTTGGCATGTCTACGAATATTTTATATTTACTAATGTGATGGTTCAAAGGCCGTTTTATTCGTTGGTCTGTGAGCCAGTACTTAGCCTTCGTTTATAATTTTTCTGTCACGATATTTTTGGAAATGAATGACTAGCAATAGCTATTTTTATAAAAAAAAAGTTATAATTGGAATTTGTTGCCTACTTATATATATTATCACTGGCTTATGGGCAAGCTGCATTTATATGGACTAATTAAGAAAATATAACTTGAGTTTCTGATCTTGTTTATCGAATTTTTAACGAATCTATTTTGAGCCATACTGCTTTAACTTTGTGATTTTCTAAAATAAGACTAGATTACGTTGTTTATGCGCTAGATGTGCTTACTAATTTATATGTATACCAAGCTTATCCTTTAATGCATTTGATCTATAGCCAAAGCTTTGAACTGAGCTAAATTAACAACTGTTTTGTCTATCTTACTCGTAATTATTCGTGCTAATCCTATCTAACAATTAAAGCTCGATTTCTCTGATAAAGCCTATCAATTATCTGGTGAAATTTTTCGGATTATCCCTAATTATGTATCAAACACTTATTCCACACTGTAATAGGCTGCATAATCTCATCCTTGGCTATGCAAATACTTGTGAAATGTGTTCAGCCTATTTCGTTTAGGATGATTAAGGGACTTATAATTTAATTTTGTTACAATGATATGAGTAGACATAATGTTTCCATAAAATGTTACATAGTTTACTTTCCCAAAAGGCATTCATATCTAACATGGACTGCAATTTCGACCACGCCTAGGTTTTATCAATACCTCCAGTGAGATTCGTACCATGACTGTGCACCGTATAATCTCGACACGTTAAACACTTCCTAACATTGCTTTGAGTGTCCAAGGCAAATTCGAATTTCATGAAACGCCAGGCTAACACTTAGAGATTACGCGCTGCAGTGTCATGGTTCGAGACCCTCTGGGGGTGTTGATAAGACTCAAGCCAGGTCGAAACGTTAGTCCATACTGGATTAGAATACCAAGTATAAGTATAAGTAAAAAATATGTAGATATTGTTATAGGCTTAAGGATAATTAGTCCTGCTCATGAAATCAATAGCCTACCGCGTCTTAACCAACTTGGTTTATTACTCTTTCCAACCTCTCTGGAAAACTAGCGAGAAACATCTTTCCTACGGTAATTATAGAAAAAAACTACTTTATACATTGTCAGGCTTGTTATTTTATCGCTTCTATATTTAGATTATAGCTTATTCAATTTAGATTGTCTAGGATTTCCAATGGCTACTGTAGATGGTTCCGATAGCTAGGGAGTCCACTATGAAATAATCTTAATAAAGTACACTTTTTTGTGCTGTTTAAAGATCTTGATTACATGTAGTGGGATCAATGTTATTTTATTATGAGCTAGCATCACTATTTAAGAATATTTAAACTAATCAATATGTGATTAACCACGAATCTGATTATTGTTGACATTGATTTCGGTAATTTGGTTGCAGCATAGATAATTTAACATAAGCTTAGAGCATCAGCTACGAAAGGTACTCGGCACGAATAGAATTTGACTTAGAATACTCAGTATTCGCATAATAGATGTAAAATTTTAAATACAATAGATGCTACTTTAAATACATAATTAA